ATATAATATAAGCTCTGGCGGACTTGGTTCTATGGTAGGTCTTAAAGGGTTAAAGGGTTAATATATGACATAGACTAAAACCCTAGTCTGAGCCTAACCTGAAAGTTTAACCTCGTAAGACCCGAACTCTTACACGGCATTTTTAATTTCTCTTTATTTGGGCCGATTGAACCTGATGAATGTAAAAACAAAGAATTATGTGATTCTTTGTTTTTACCAAAATTTAGCATTTTGGTCTGGACAACCCAAAATATGATGTGCACATGTGTGGACGCCAGGTCCTTGGAGGTTAAATTCTCTGTGTTAGCCTTGCAGTACATTAGCAGTCTCTCCAGGGTGTACTCCGCCTTTCGCCCCATGACAGCTGGAATAGGCTCCACCCACCCATCACCCTAACAATGATAAGAACAAGTCCCGTAGAAATAAAAACAGATGTTAACAAGTGATTCAGTAAAATAATTAAGCTTCCTTCGCAGTTTGAACCTGTCAGAGAGCCAAAGGAAGCTTTTGCTTTGTCCGAGTGATAAACAGTCGTTTGCTTAAGTGAACCCGAGACTATAAAACCACAAAAAGCTCACTGAATGTTGCATCTGGAAGATCTTCATCCACTTGAGCTTCAGCGCTTCAGGAGATTCTGCTGCATTCAGTCTAGTTTAACATACAGTCATTTCCATCTGTTAGACAAACACTTCTCATAGTTAACAAACAGAATGTGTAGAAACGGTTTAGGGACTCACACAGCTGACTGATGACGCAGGACAGTCGGGAGATTCTGATGGTCGGCGACTAAAGCTATGACGCCCATTCTTTGTCGAGCACCTGCTATTTCATAAGGTTGTGGTGCATCGCTCTGAGCTTCAAGTTCATGGTGAGGTTGTGATGCTCTTTTAATTCTGGGTTTATAAGTATAAGAGGCAGCGCTTCTTATGTAATTCAACCGAGCGGCCATCTCAGGAGCCATTGCAAGGCCTACAGGAACATCCTCGTTGGGACGGGTGGGAGGTAAAGAGGACCCAAAAAACCGGGAGGTTCTACTCCCGTTTTTTTTCAGTGACAGCCTTACTGATGGCAAGCACAAGTCAGGTTTTGGTTGGTGCTCTGAATCTGATAGAGCTGACGTCACAGGAACC